GATCAAGAAACACTCCTCGTCGCTGGAAGAAATCCCAATCTATTTAAAGGACAAAGAAGCAACACTTTATAACAAGGACAGAAGAGGCAGCTATTTTGATGTCTTAGGAGATGAGAGAATAAGTGAAATTTGACAAAGAAAACAATCCACATTGGCAACTGTACTGGATTCCTAAGCTAAGGAGGACTTGGGATTTATACCTTCAAAGGGGCTAAAATAGTCACTAGAAGAGGTCGTGTTGGACACTGTTGTTTTTTTTTCCCCTGTCAAAAGGACAGCTTCTGTTATTCTATTCTTCTTCTTTCCAGAGAGGACCAAATTCGGTCATATCATAGAAGCAAAAAGATTTGTCTCATAGTGAGGCAGAACCCCAGGAAAATTCTAACCCACAGCCCTCTCCCAATCGGAGAAAAACCTCCTGGTCTGTGTCCTCTGGTGTGGCATAGGCCCCACCTGGAGCTCAGTGTTCAGTTCTGGGAACTACGGTTTAAGGCCATTGAGGAGTCAGAGTGTCCAGAGGAGGGCAACTGGGAAGTCCTTGAGTCCATGACTTAAGAAAATTAGTTGAATGACCCGGGGATATTTCACCTGAACGAGAGAAGATGAATACGGGATAGGAGATTTATTGTCAAGTATTTGAGAAAGAGGGATTTGACTCATTTTGCTTAGTCCTACCTAGAGGGTAGAACCAGGAACAATGAGTGGAAGTTGAAGAGGGATAGATTTGGGTTTGATAGAGGGAAAAACTCCTAATAATGGGAGTTCTTCCCAAATGGACTGATCTGCCTTGGCAAGTGGTAAGTTTCTACCCTCCCTGGAGGTCTTCAAGTAACATCTAGATGCTCACTTGTTGGGGATGCTCTAGAGAACATTATTGCTCAGTTATAGTTGGCCTGGATGTCCTCGGGGATCCTTCCCTACTCTGATTCTTTGATTCAATCCAGAGAAAAGAGCATGATTTTGGAATATGTAAAACTTGAAGATGAGTTGGCCTGGCTCAGTGGATAGAGTTCTGGCCTTGGAGAAGAGATGACCAGACTTCAAACATCAACTCTAATTCATACTCACTGTTTGAATCTGGGCAAATCAATCTGTGTCTGCCTCAGGCAGCAAACAAGTTCTTAGGATTCATCTCCTAAGGCAGAGACAGGTTCCAGTCTACCTTGGTGGGGGGTGGGAGGAGTTCCCTATGCTGCCAGAAGCTCAGAGCCTCCTTAGATTTTGGCACATTGGACACCTGCAAAGCACAAGCCAATGTTGGCACAGATGTAAGGCCCTGTGTGTATCCTACTCCTCCTTCTGGAAATTGACCAATGAGAACTTCAGCTCAGTTCACCAAGCCTTTATTAAGTATAGTGATTATGTGCCAGGCACTGGGCTGGGCACTGAGTATATGCAGAAAAGAGCAAAACGGCTCCTTAAGGAGCTTATGTTCTACTGGGGAGAAACATGTGTACAGATAAGGACAAAGTATATGCTGAGTAACTATAAGATTATTCTGATGGCTGCAGTAACCACAAGAGGCATCTGGAAAGGTCTTGTACGGTTGGTGGCACTGAGCTGAGCCTTGAAGGAGGCTGGGGAGGCTGTGAGCAGGAGGTGATGTGAGGAAGCTTCCAGGAATATGCTGTAAGTGCCCAAGGGCGGGACTTGGAATGTCCTTTATGAGAAACAGCACGTAGGCCATGGAGGCATTCCTGTGAAATGGGTCCGGAAAGCTAGGTTGGAGCCAGCTAGTGGGCTCAAAAGGTGGGACAGAGGAATTGGTATTTGTTCCTCAAGGCAGTAGGAAGTTTGAATTGTATTTAAAGGTGAGTGTAGGTAGTCAGTCCTGCTACTGCTGTATTCTGGCTGGGTGAGCCTAGGCAAATCACTTGGGCAACTTTCCAAGTCTGAGAGTTGTGGAGAAGGGGCTGACCTGCATTGGTAGAGGGACTTTCCTCCTTCAGAAGTTCCATGTGCCAGTATCATCATAGCTGCGGTTTCCACCCCATAGGCAGCCAGTGACGCTCTTCCTCACTACACATCTGACTGATACTCTGGACTTCATTCTGAACCATCTTGAATGAGGTCATTGCTAGAGAATCGTCTAGATGCCCTCAAGGCATCACTCGTATAAATCACTTGTGGGTCTGCATTTGGTCAGGACCAAAGGCTGTTTCCATATACTAATGGCCACTGTGCAAGGTACTTCTGTTCTCCCTTTGCTTCATCCTCTTGGCCGTGTTTTAAAGTGCCAAAGATGACTGGCACAGCCAAAGCCTTGTATGCCCAAGGTGACATTGTCACCATTTTGAGTGATATGGCCAGGCCCATCCTCAACAAAATTGTGAAAGAAGCTCCTCTCTCCTCCCACTCCCTTTCCCTCTCCCTACGATATTCTTCTCTCCTGGTGCTCCCTCTCTCCCACTATGCCACTATGCCCACTCAAGAGGGTCTTCGTATTTAATAGTGACTCCTGAAGTTGAAAAAAAAAAGCCTCATTCTGAAGTGGCTTCATTGGCAATCTATGGATGGCTAGCCTCTCTCCTTCTTTCTTTCCCAGTCCAAGAGGGAAGAAATACATATTGGTTTGGTATGCTTCCTCAGGTGCCTACTGTTGCCACAGGCCTTTGGAAAAGTGTCCAATTGCCCAGTGGAGTTGTCCAGCCCTACATGTACGAAAGACAGCTGAAAAAATTTGCTGGCCAAGAATTACATTTGTAGCTTGAGAGGTGTTTTCAAATGATCAGTGAGGCTTGAGAAAGGATGGCTAAATAGGACGGCCAGAACAGAACAGACTGGTTTCCCTGGGGCCACAAATGGCTGCCCAACAGGCCGAGGCCTTGATGGGGTGAGCTGAGCAGCCTGCTATTTGGACAGAGATAGAGGTTGTGAGCACATGGCCGTCAATTCTGGTGTGCAGCAGCTCTGTGCTGAGTGGTGACAGATTCAAATATGAATATGAATGAATGAAAAACAGAGCGAGGCGGGTAAGCCACTAAAAAGCCTCCCGCACTTCAGAAATTGGTTTCATTAATAAAACAGCAGTGCTTTGGAGAACACGGGAAATAGATTTCTCATCTTTAGCACCTGCTTCTCACTGATTTAGTGCCAGCCAATGATTAGGCTCTGTCAGCCCCAGCCTGCTTTAAGGAGGACAGATTAGGCAAAGTTAAGGATGCTAAAACAGGCAGGTAGTTCTCAGTACACAAAAGGATATCAAAAAGTGCCACTGATTCAGGAGACAAAGAGTTCGGTCACCTGGAAATGGAATGGAAAGGAGGACTGCCAGTAGACCAGCTCGGTGATGGCGGTTGTTCTTAAGTTGGCTTGATGCCTTTTATTTTACACTACACTTCTCCCTCTCTGCCTCCCCCACCACGAATTCAGCCCTTCCTTATAACAGAAAAACCAAACATGGTATACCAACCAATATAGTGACCATGCCTGGTGGCATATGCCACATTTTGCCCCTGTTGTTCCCTACCTCCCTACAGAAGGTGAGGAGAAACGCTTCATCATCCCTTCTCCAGGATTAACATTAGCCATTGCAGTGCAGCTGGGTGGCTCAGTGGATAGAGTACCAGGCCTGGAGTCAGGAAGTTGTTGTCCAGTTGTGTCTGACTCTTCATGACCCCATAGACCATAGCATGCCAGGCCCTTCTACCCTCCACTGCCTCTCAAAGTGGGTCCAAGTTCATGTTTGTTGTTTCCATGACACTATCTATCCATCCCATCCTCTGCCCTTTTCCTTTTGCCTTCAATCTTTCCTAACATCATGGTCTTTTCCAATGAGTCCCATCTTCTCATTAAGTGGCCAAAGTATTTAGGCTTCAGCTTCAGTATTTGACATTCCAGTGAATAGCCTGAATTAATTTCTTTAATTATTGACTGATTTGATCTCCTTGCTGTCTAGGGGACTCTCACAAGTCTTCTCCAGCACCACAATTCGAAAGCATCGATTCTGTGGTGCTCAACTTTCCTTATAGTCCAACTCCCCGCAGCCATACATTGCTACTGGAAAAACCATAGCTTTGACTATACGAACCTTTGTCGACAAGGTGATATCTCTGCTCTTTAGTCTGCTGTCCAGATTTGCCATAACTTTCCTTCCAAGGAGCAAGCGCCTTTTAATTTCATGGCTAGTTTCCATCTGCAGTGATCCTTGAGCCTAAGAATGTAAAATCTGAAGCTGCTTCCATTTCTTCTCCCTCTATTTGCCAGGTAGTAATGGGACTGGTTGCCAAGATCTTAGTTTTTTTGATGTTAAGCTTCAAACCAGCTTTTGCACTCTCCTCTTTCACCTTCACCAAGAGGCTTCTTAATTCCTCTTCACTTTTCTGCCATCAGAGTGGTATCATCTGCATATCTGAGATTGTTGATGTTTCTCCCAACAACCTTAATTCTGGCTTTTGATTCGTCCAGGCTGGCATTTCATATGATGTACTCTGCATATAAGTTAAATAAATAAGATGACAATATACAGCCTTCTTGCACTCCTTTTCCAATGCTGGAGTCAGAAGATCTGAATTCAAATTAAGCTTCAGACATTCACTAGCTCTGTGACCCTGGGCAAGTCACTTAACCTTTTAATCCAGTGGAGAAGTCAATGGCAAACCACTCCAGTATCTTTGCCAAGAAAACCCCATACAGGGTCATGAAGAGTTGTACACGACTGAACAGCAGCAACAACAAGAGTTCCGCTTCCTTTTAGTGTTGTTTTCATTTACAATGTTACAGTCACTGGACAGACTTTGTTTCTGATTCTTGGATTCCCCAAAAAGGATGCTATAAATATTTTGGTATATTTTAGGACTTTACTTTTTGTCATTCTCCTCCCAGAGGTATATGCCCACTGATGGGCTCCTTGGGTCAGAGGGGATGAATAACTTAGCAACTGTGTGTTTCTCATGTTCTGGAATAAACCAGAGCAAGGCAAGTCACAGGAAGTCAGACGTAAGCCCAAAGAGGGTTTGTGTTCCTTTCCCCTTGATGTTAATGTTGTTTTTCTACTCTAGCATCATCACCTGTGCTATGAGCATGAAGCGCTATGTAGAGGCCAACATTTCCCAGCATTCTCACACCACCATCAAGTACTTTATGAAGATGTGTAGCAGTGTGAGCCATACGCTTATCTTCATCTTCCTGGGGGTTTCGACCATTGGTGAGAAGCATGAGTGGAATTGGCCGTATATTTGTTTCACCATCATTTTCTGCCTCGTATGGCGAGCATTAGGTATGGAACCGTAAGTATTTTTGTATGAACCAAATGAACTGAATTTTGGGCTAAATTAGACATGATATCTTTCAAATGGAAGATAGTATGTGGTCCTGGAATCACAAATTTCTGGCTGGAAAGTACTTCCAAGGTTATCTTAGTCTAACTTTCTCATTTGACAAAGAAGAAAACTGAGGCCCAGAGGGTTGCAGAGGCTTGCCCAAGGACTCACAAGTTATAACTAGCAGAGCCAGGATTTGAGCCTAGAACCTCCAGCTCCAAATCCAGTGCTCTTATCACCCACTGAGATAGTTTCTTCTCTGAAGATAACCATCAGTATTTGCATGAAAGTATAAACTTGCTATCCATGTGAGTTAGCACTCACTTCTTGGGCCTTAGTTTCTCAGGTCCATACAAAATCCTGAATAAAATGAGGGGAGTAATGAAAGACCTCTTAGCAGGTTGGCTAGTCAGTGACCAGTTGTGATTTATATTGATGAAGGGAATATTCATAACAGTGCAGTGGGGAGAATGAGTAATACAATGGGAAGCAGGCTGGATCTGGAGGACCTGAATTTGTGTCACAGCTTTGCTATTGCCTGTGTGACCCAGAGCAAGTCACAACTTTTCTGGGCACCAGTTCCTCCTGAATTAGACTATGTGGTTTCTAAGGTTCTTCTAGCTTTAAGCCTATGACTCTGATAGCTCTTTGAACTATATTAATATTATTGTTGTTGTTGGGTAAGGAGGGCTGCCTTCCTGGCTACACTCACAATGGCTCTGCATATGGCCCTTGAAGGGTAGATTGCCACTGTCCCCTGCTTGGCCCGTGTTGGCAGTATGGAAGGAATCTGCACTTTTCATCTTCAGTGATCTGTATGTTCCTGCCTTGCCTTTCCGCCTTCCAATATTATTGCAGAAGTTTGGTACCATTGCTGTGGAAGGAGAAAGGTCAGAAGAGATATTGCTGTGAACATACCGTATGACCATGGCTCAGTCACTTCCCCTCTCTTTGCCTTGGTTTACTCCTGTGTAAAGTGGGAGTTGAGGGGGGAAGCCTAGTCAACATTGGGGCCCTGAACCACAGCCACAGCTTTAGACCCTCATCTCATTCCTACCCTGCGATTTTCTCCTAGAACTCTACCCACATTTATAAGATTGAGACCAGGAAAGGCCCTGAGAGATCACTTAGTCTAAACCTGCTCTTCTCCATTTGACAGGTGGAGAAACTGAGACTAAGAGAGGGCTATGATTTCAACACTCTAGGTGGAGGCTCCTTGCTGTTCCACATCAATTGTCTCATGCGAGGCCACGACTGCAGACAAGGGAAGTGCCCACGTGGGCCATGCCATGTTAGCCTGCAAACCTCATTGCTTCATTACAAGCTAAACAGGGCCTCCTCTTTATCATACAATTTATAGCTTCTCTCAGCTTTCTGTTTATAGTTCATCATCTTTGCTTGACATTTATATGTTGCCCTCCCCCTTCCTTCCCAACGAATATCATCATTGCACCGTTAGCCCTTGCAGGGAGCCTGAGACACTTCCCCCATGGAGATGGAGAAGCACATTAGGCAAATTGCCCAGGTGTGTGAGGAGGAGCAGTAAGGCAGGCTGGGCCGCTTGATTAGCCATTAACATGTGTGTAGGGTGCTTATTACCAGGACAGCTAGCAGCCACATGTCATCCAGGTTCATAGAAGCCTATTTCCCGCTCTTCAAAGGCATGGTGCAAAATGTCTGGGTTGTTGTTGTTGTTTTTTTTTTTTTAATAAAATCACTTTTTAAGTGAAATAGGAAAACCACGTACCTCAAGATCAGTGATGGGGAAAGGTAGAGTAAAGGCAGTTAAGGAGATCTCTTTTTCTAAGATTTAGAGCTGGAAGCAGGAGTGTGCTTGTGAGCCGATTGTTAAATTTTCACTATGAGCATTTATGCCTCAGAAATCTGTTAATGCTGCAAATCAGGCCTGGATTTATCGTTTTGTTGATTGTCTCGACTTAAGAAAGTGATGGAGAAAATGATAATAATGCAGGTTAGACTTAAGTGTGTTATGCCTACATTTTTTCCCCTTGGGAAGCTAGTTGTTCAAAAGTTACCAGCATCCCACTGTTTGGAAGGGACCTTTGAGACCATCTCTTGTAACCTTTTCATTTTTCCAGATGAGGAGCTGAGGCCCAGATTGGGTGTGCATTGCCCAAGGTCACACAGGTAGTAAGAGACAAAGAAGGATTTGAACTAATATCCTCCTACGTCTTCTGAGGTCCATCATGCTTTTTACTATGCCAAGAGCAAGTAAGATCAGGGCCATAGGACCAAGGACAGTATTTCTAGCCATTTGTGAAAATCGCAGCATGCTGATAGTCAATTAGTCAGTCAACAAGCATTTATTAAGTTCTTATTTGATGCCGGTCACTGTGATGAGGATACAAAGGAAGGCCTCTCATGACGCTCAGAAAGGTTAAGTGGTTGGTCTCAAGGCAAAGTGGGACGGGCTGCCTCTGGTTCCCTAGTGCCTTCAGCCATTTATTATGTCTCTACTGTCTTTGACGACCACAGGTCACATTCTGAGCAGATTTTTTTTCCTATTTCACAAGGTGCTCACATTCTAACAGGAGAAACATCTTGGAAATGATTATGTCCATACTAGATATAGAAGAAAGTCTTCCTACAGATGATGTGATTTGAGCTAGGAAGCCAAGAAGCAGAGGGGAGGAAGTATTTCTTGGAGGTAGCCAGTGAAAAGGTGCAGGAGATGGCCTGCATGATTGTAGAAATAGCAAAAAGGCCTGTGTCATGCATCACTGGATCAGAGAGTATGCCTTGGGGAGTCAAGTATGAGAAGACCTAAAATGGGGCCCAGGCTGGGAGGATTTTCCATTTGAACCTATAAGTAAAAGGGAACCACTGGAGTTTATTGAGGAGAAGTGTGATGTGGCCAGATTTGTCCTGTAGGAAAATCCTTTTGGCAGTTAAGTGGAGGATGAACTAGAGTGCGGAGATACTTGTGACAGGGGGACCAATCAGTAGACCATTGCAAGAGATGAGGCATAAGGTGATGAGGGCCTGTGCTGGAGGGGTGGCAGGGGCAGAGCAGAGAAGGACGCATACATGAGAGATGTCAGGAAGGTCCAGTTGACAGGACTTGGTAACAGATTAGATATGGGAGGTGAGTAAGAGTGAAGAGTCGAAAATAACATTGAGATTGTAAGCATAGCTGACTGAGAGGTTGGTGGTGTCCTTGACGATTATAGGATACTTAAGAAGAAGAGAGTGTTTGGGGGGAAAGTTAATGAGTTCTGCTTTGGAAATATGGAGTTTGAGATATCTAGAGGTCATCCAGTTTGAGATACACAGAATGCAATTGAGGATGTGAGTTGGTTCCTGGGGGAAAGATTAGGACTGGACATGGGAGTCATCTGCATAGAGGTGATAATTGAACCCATGGGAATGGATATGGTTATCAAGTGATAGAGTATAGACTGAGGGACAAGACAAGAGGGCCTTGGGAGATTCCCAGAGCTGGTGGACATGAGCTACATGAAAATTCAGCAAAAGAGACTGAGAAGGAACACTCAGGGAAGAGGAGAACCAAGAGAAAACAGTATCACAAAAACCTAGAGAAGAGAATATTCTGGAGAAGAACATGATCAGCAGTGCCAAAGGTTGAACAGAGGTTAATGATGATGATCGAGGAAAGGCTGGTAGCTTTGGCAATTAAGAGATCACTGGGAACTCTGGAGAAGGCAGTTTTAGTTGAATGATGAGGTTGCTTCATTGATGAGGTCTGCATGAGATTATAGAAGGGTTAGAGAAGGATTGTAGAAGAGGGAGTGGCTGCACTAATTGTAGATGATTCTCTCAAGGAGTTTAGCCATGAAAGGGAGAAGTCTAAGGCAATAGCTAGTAGGGATAGGAGAATCAAGTGGTGTTTTCAGAAGGATGGAAGAGACATGAGTGTTTGTAGGCAGCAGGGAAGCAGCCAGTAGACAGGGAGAAATCAAAGATTAGAGAGGGTGTAGGGATGATAGAGGGCACAGTCAGCTGGAGAAGATAGGAGGGGACGGGATTAAGGATGCAGGTAGAGGAGATTGCCTTGCCAAAATAAGGGCTGCTTCTTAGAGACAGGGGTGAAGGAGGAGATAGTGAGAGAAGAGGTCTGTTATAGGAGATGAGGAAGAGGGGAGAAGAGGGAGCTCTCTTGGCAAAAGGTCTTAACTTTTGCAAGCGAAGGAAGGTGAGCTCCTCAAATTGGGAAGGAGAAGAAGTGCCATAGTAGGTTTGAAGAAGGATGAAAAGGTTCGGAAAAGTCACTGTGCTCCAGCCTTGGAGTCTGGAGGACCTGAGTTCAAATTTGGCCTCAGACACTGGATATTTACTAACTGTGTGACCCTGGGCAAGTCACTCAACCCCAATTGCCTCACCAAAAAAACCAAAACAAAACAAAAGTCACTGTGGGGAGTGAGATTGAGATTTGATTAGGGAGATGTAAGAGGATTGCCTTGCTTTAGTGAAGGCCCATTTGAGATTGTGTAACAAAGTTGTAGTAGACCCAGTCACCTTGTTTTTGTGATTTTTCTCCAGCTTCATTAAGCAGCAGATGGTGTCAGTAATCCAAAGCTGGGAAAGGGCTCAAAAGTAGAAGACAGTGTTGAATTAAACTGATTCACAAAGGAGTTGGTAGAGAAGCAAGGACAGGGGTGATGGGCTGGGAAAGAACTGAGGAGTGGGAGGATTTGAGGTCGTGGTGAGGTTGAAGAACATGGTTAGGGTCTGTAAGGAAGAGGAAAGGATGGGATAACAAAAGATTATGATAAAAAGATTCTGATCAGATAAAGGCATTTGGGAGCTTACGAACATGGGAGTGATATAAGGAACTGAGCCAAATTTATAAGAATAATAACCATTTCTAAGCTGATGAATGGTCAAGGGATATGAACAGGCAGTTTTCAGAAGAAGATATCAAAGCTATTAACTCATGTGGAAAAATGCTCTAAATCACTAATAATTAGGGAAATGT